GTAGTTGTCACCGCCCGCTTCGCGGAGGTCGGCCATCAGCTCACGGTCGAACGCGTCGCAACGCTCTAGCAGCGACTCGTAGTCCCGCGCCGCTTCGGCGAGCAACTCCTCGGCCTCCATCCCGTTGCGGCGCCAGTAAGGCCGCAGGTTCTTGCCCATGAACTGAATCGAATAGAGATCGTCATAGGCGACCACCAGCCAGCGACGCACCGACTTGTCGCCGACTTCGCCCAGGTCAAACTCGAACGAACTGGCAACGTCACCGGCCTCCTTCGGACCGACAGCGTCGGCGTCGGCTCTGCCGTTCTCCGAACTGAACGCGGCCCTCAAGGCGCGCGGCTCGCCAACACGCACGACCGGATCCGCGTCCTGCGGGGCGGCGGCGTAGAAGTATCCCCAGTCGATACGCAGATCGTCGCCCACCTTCTGCAAGACGTTTTGCTCGACCGAACCCATCTTCACCACGGCCAGGCCATTGCCGGCGTTCTTTGAGGCCTCGACCTCTTGTCGCGGCACGTCAACGCAAAGCTCGGACGATGCGTCAAAGTAAAGCTTCGCGTCGTGCTTCTTGCCGTCTGACGACTTCACGTCGAACGTCAGGTAGGTGATCGGCCGTGACAACAGGTCGATGTCCTCGGGCAGGGAGGGCGTCGTGAACCGCAGCGTCACCTGAACGCCGGCGCCGGCGAACGTGTAGATCGTTTGCGTCGGCGTCACCACCTGGTCGCTCTGCGGCATTGCGGCGGCGCGACGTGGCGCCGAGCCCATCAACCGGTAGGTCGTCCCATCGACCTCGATCAAGGCCGTCAGCCGGTGCGGCTTGCCCGTCCAATGCGTGGTGTCATTGTCATTCAGCGCGCGGCCGGTGGACCAGATGCTGAAGTACGGATCACACGCCACCAGCGGAGTGGCGGGCGGAGTGAATCGTGGCGTGGCGGCGTCGGCAACGGCGGTCGCCGCCGCAACACACAGCACAGTCAGACGAAGTACGTTGGTTCCCATGAATCTCACAGCTTGTCGCATGCCCTTCTCTAGTTCCTAGTAAGTTTCAAATCTTGTTCCGTTGACTCAGACGTCCCGCCGTCTCGCGGCGAACACCCCACCAATGCCGCACGCCGCCAGCAGAGCCGTTGTCGGCTCGGGGACCGAAGCCAGCAAACCGGCGAACGCCTCTTCACCGTGCAGCGAGATGTAAGTCGCTTTGAAGGCGGCGAAGTCGTCGTAGTTGCTAACGCCGTCGCCGGTAAGGTCGCCAGCCGCGTAGGCCTGCGCCGGGCCGAGGCCCGACAAGTCGGTGTGCAGTTGGCTCGCGAGTGCGACAAAGTCGGCCCGGTTGATCACGCCATCAAAATTGAGATCGCCGCTCTCGAACGCCGCGCCGCCATTGCCGGTGTAGCTGACTTGCGCGTTGACGATCGTGCCGTCACCGAGCAGCACCGTCGCCGCCAGGTCTTCGACGGGCGAACGCACCCAGCCATCCGCGGGCGAATACACCAGCTGGCTTTGCGGCGCCAACTGTCCTGCGTCGCCGGTTGTTGCTTCGACGAACAGCGAGCTCGTGCTCGACGAGATCGACCACGCGTCGTTGTGATCCACCGACATGTCGCCATCGGCGTCGCGCAGCCCCGTGACGGGCGTCAAATCCGACGGCGAGATAGCGCCCACCGCCGACGACAGGGAGATCGATTGGATATCAAGTACCGTGGTAGCGCTGTTCTGCAAAGTAACCGCGCCGGTGTCGCGATCCACCACGAATTCAATCTGGTCGTCACCCAACGGGACAATCCGGAAGATCTCACCCTGACCTTCCGGCGGGAAGAACGAGTTGCCGAACTTGACCATGTACAAGTTCCCGAAGTTGTCCTCGTTGAATGACGTGAGGTACTGGAGAACCGTTCCGTCATCGAGCAACTCCTCGAACTCGATGTCGTGACGCTGGACATCGGTGAAGTTATCGCCGTTATAGCCGGCGGCTGGAGTCGTGGTGTCGAACTCTCCCGAATAGATCCGCTGCGCCGTAAAGTCCGTGAGGAAGTAGCGGCCTTGCAGTTCCTCGACGGGCCCGCGATACACATAGCCGCCGGTTATCGAGGCTCCGTTGAAGTCGCTCGTATGCCCCAGCGGGATGCCGCCGTGGTGAGCGTATTCGTAGATCGGATCAACATCGCCTGGCGAACTAGGGCCGCCGGCCGATCCGCCGATCGTCGCGATCGTCCCCTCGCGCGAAGTCCACCCGAAATCGATTGGCGTCGCAGCGGGGTTCTCAAAGTGACTCGCTGGGATGAAGTTCACTTCCTCCACCGCGTTGAAGCCGACATCGCCGATGTAGAAATCTCCCGTCTCACGGTCGAAGCTGCTGCGGTAGGGGTTCCGCAATCCCAACGCGACCAGATCGACATCCGGGTGCGACGGTCCCGCAGCCGGCGTTGCGAAGTCGCCTGTCAGGTCAATCTTCACCACTTTGCCGTACGGCGAGGTCGGGTCCTCGATCAACGAGGGATCGAAGGTCGGCTCGTTCGCTTGCGTGCCGCCGTC